CGCCCCTCTTCCGTGGATCCGCCGATGGAACTACTAGATATTTCGCATTTTTTTCTCCCGTTACATACTCTTTCAGCTCGTTGAATCTACTCCTTCTCCATAACTATTTGAATGCCTGGAGGTATACTGCGCAATAATCATATGGGAGTTTTCGAAACAGAAATCTTCTGATTCAAAAAGACAGAGACGAAAAATATGCGATAATTTTTGCAGGTAGCACAACTTGCGCAGGAGACGTACAATTCGAATGTTCTTCAACTGCTCATCGATAATCTGACGAAACTGGACTTCGAGGCCAAGAAAGATGTGGCACAGATTTTCAACAATCTTTTGAGACGGCAAATTGGTACTCGTTCACCGACAGTTGAATATGTGCATTCGCGACCGCAAATGCTCGACGCACTCGTCAGAGGGTCCGTTTTGGAGATTTCAGATCCATGTGCTTACGTGAAATATTCTCTGTGCATGTGCGAGTTAAAGATTTCAAAAATTACTCCCTTTTTGTGCGTTTTGTGCTGTGTAACAGCGTTACAAAACGTATATTGTCATGGGGTTGTCTGTTTGTATGTGTTTCCCACATTTTGTCCCGCACTTTCAACTCGTGAACCACAAAAGCTAGGCGGCTGAAATTTTAGTATAGTGTTCCTGCCAGCGGGTGACGCGGCAAATTTAAATTCAGCCTTCCCGTACCCGCGGATAAGACGCACGGCCTCGTGAAAGTTTTTTGCAGGTAAATTATTAACTCAGGAACTACGAGGTCTAGGAAGCTGAAATTTTAGGGTAATGAGCGTTCTCGCGTTCTCGACTACCACCTACGGCTTCGTGAAAATTTTGGCGGGTAGACTATTAACTCGGGAAACACGGAAAGATATTCATCCCGAAGGTTTCGAATTCATTCTTTCATGCGCTTGTGCGTGGAATTTTTAACTATTTTCCAATGTTTGAACTATTTTTGCATAGACTAAAGTACAAAGCAGTGCAAATCATTAATAGGCAGTCGTTCGATGGGCTGAATTGCATAAAACGCATGATTGCACCGGCTGGTCTGGTGCGCGTTGCTATTTATTTTCTCTGGGAGTTGAAGGCAGCCGAATGGATTAGGTAGTGAACTTGGGCAGGAGGAGGGAACGGGGTGGGAAACGAACAGATGAAAGTGGTCCTAGAAAGAGGGAGGTGATATTAAAGCATGTAAGTCCTGCCGCTGACCATATCTATTTATCCTCACAGTATATGTCCAAATACGAGTTCTACTATGGTTCTCTGCCTTGGTAATTCCTCGAAGGAATTTGCCTTTGAAGAACTGTGCTTCTGTCTGTCGTTTTTGAAAGAAAATAGGAACTCTAGGGGAGATGCATTGCGACCGTCATACTGAGAAGGTGCTGTTGCGGGTTAAGACATATATGACTAAATGGACCGAAACGTCTTATCTCACTCTTATTTTTTTCATACCACTCTACCATGCTGTAATCTATCGCGCCTTCGCCATTTGGGCTTCCAGGGCAACCTGATTGTTACAATCAGCTTATCTCCTTCAGAGATATGCATGAGTTGATTGTGGATTTGTAAATGCAAAACTGCTTAATTTGTCTTTTTGCAGGTATGAGTCGCAAGACATTGCTGTTACATGTGGGAGCATGCTACGAGAATGCATAAGACATGAAAATCTCGCAAAATTAGTTCTCAGAAGTTCGAGTTTTTACAATTTCTTCAGTTATGTTGAGGTTAGTTTTCTCTTTTTCCCCCTTTGAATATTGTGTATTTTAGTTCTCAGAGAGAAACTAAAATTTTGCCAGTGCTGTGCCACTGCTTCTTTTATGTTGAAGGAATGAAATCATTGTGGGTTTTGTTTGAATGATCGGCTGTTTTGGGATGAGGCTGGAATGGAACCAGGAGAATAAAAGGGTGCTTAGGAATAGAGCTTAATTCGTTGCGTTACTTATATGCTTAGAATACTTGGATAAGTTGTAACTCATAGTTTGAAAAAACCGTTTAGCTGGCCTTCTTTCCATTTGCTTTGACCAATATATTGTGGTCATCCTCTTCGAATTTCCGCAAATCCTGTCGTTTTTTTTTTGTTGAAACACTTGGTAGCTCAAGGGTTTTTCCTACAGAAACACTTCATGTGACATTAACCATTCTGAGTTGTAATTTTAATTTTAGATGATGTGTGTTTATGTAAAAAGTAAGGGTTTGAAAGTAAGGGACTAAAAAGGAATGTGAATAAGTTAAATCGGAATAAAAACCTGAATAGGAATGTTTCGGTCTATGGCGGATCCTAGGGAAAAAGGGAAGAAGGCGATAAGC